AAGGAACTCCTCTTCTTGTCATGCAGCTCCAGCTGCTCCTGTTCCAACTTGTCACTGTTGTCTGTCCAATGTTTTTCTAAAGGGCAAAAATAATAACTGGAATGGAATGAAAAGGTTGACTGCTGCTGAGGGTTGTGAACGGGTGTAGAGTCTACGGGGTAGTCTACAGGGTAAAGTCTACGGTGTAGTCTACAGGGTAAAGTCTACGGTGTAGTCTACAGGGTAAAGTCTACGGTGTAGACTGGGGTGTAGAGTCTATGGTGTAAAGTCTACAGTGTAGACTGGCTGCTGCTGTTTTATTGTCTATAGATATCTTTTAAAAAGACTGTTGTTAAATTGACTGTTGACTTTTTTTCAGTTCAATTTTTATAATTGTTTTTTTTTATATCAAATCCTTAATTTTGAACTGATGAGGATTTTCCAGCCTATTGGTCCAAATGTTATCTATAAATACAGTTCAAAGGTCAGTTCAAAGGTCAGTTCAAAGGTCAGTTCAGAGTTGACCTAACCTGTGGGAGGAAACTGACCCCCCCATCCTCCCCCCTCTCCCTTTGGGATCAAACCAATGACCTCCTTGTTGAGTCACCTGCAGAACGACCGCCGTCTTCATCTGTACAGTAACACACACACACACACACACCCCTTCATCACCATCATCATCATCATCATCATCATCATCATCATCATCATCATCATCATCATCATCATCATCATCATCATCATCATCATCATCATCATCATCATCATCATCATCATCATCATCATCATCATCATCATCTTCTTCTCTACCTTCTCGGCACGTCTCTTCCCTCCATGTCCCAGGTTCTTCTCCCAGTGGAGATGAGCTGGAACTGCAGCTGTTCATCAGAAGCTTTTTAAATAATTGAAGAACTTCTTCCACCTCCAGGAATCCTGGGACGCGGCGTCTGGTTCACCTGGTTCTCTCTACAGTACCAGCACCAGTCTGAGTACCAGCTGCCTGGACAGATGGACCAGTATCAGCAGGTAGATGATGATGTGCTATTATGGGATGTTCAGTGCTCCAGAACACATCACAGGAACATCTGTACATCTGTAGTCCTGTCCCCGGAGGTTGTCACTGGAACTGCTGCCAAAACAACAAAAGTTTTGGAATGAACTTCAGCTTCACTGGAAGATTTCAACAAACACACGGAACTTTAAAAAAGAACTGGGAACTGTTTGGAACTAATGTCTTTGGTGAAGCAGAACTTCAAGAAAACTGACCGCCGCAGTACTGTGTGTACACCGCCGCAGTACTGTGTGTACACCGCCGCAGGACTGTGTGTACACCGCCGCCGAACCGCAGTACTGTGTGTACACCGCCGCAGTACTGTGTGTACACCGCAGCAGCACTGTGTGTACACCGCTGCAGTACTGTGTGTACACCGCCGCAGTACTGTGTGTACACCGCAGCAGCACTGTGTGTACACCGCTGCAGTACTGTGTGTACACCGCCACAGTACTGTGTGTACACCGTCACCTGTGACGTGAACACACCATGATCAAACCCAGACAGTCACATGGTTCTAACTGTGTTTTTAATAAACTCCACTACATCTGGTCACAGCTGGTACTAGTTTTCTGGATGGACCAGTGTTGGTGAAGAGGCACAAAATATCTGGACGGAGCAGAACAACGGATAATAATCAACAACGACAACAACAATAACGACAACAACAACAACAACGACAACAACAACAACAAGGACAGGAAGTAGAAATACGTTTTTACACCACTAGTTTAGTTAGTGATGTTGTTCCCAGTAGACCCCCCCCGCGCCACCCTCCCCTCCCCCAGCTGTTGGTACTGGTTCTTCAGGCCGTGGAGATGAAAGGCTGAAGGTTCATCCATTCATCTTCTACTACAGTCGTCTTGACTGAACTCTGCTGCCCTCTAGCTACAGGTTCAGGTTCAGGTTCTGAGGTTCTAGTCAGTGTAGACCACACGAGTACAGACTGCTCCAGTCTACACCTGCTTGTTGTGAAGTCAGTCTCTGTGGGGGGGGGGGGGGGCTGTTGTAGACCCTTCTTCGTATAGACATGAATGCTTAGTGGACACTATCGGTACTGCAGCTGTTTTAAGGATGATTTTCTTGAATATATGTTTCTATTTGTCTTCACTCTGGGCCTGGTCCACTGTTCTGTCCTTGTCGTCCTGGTTGTTCCTTCACTGACGGTGTGTGTGTGTGTGTGTGTGTGTGTGTCTATTAATATTACACCCTTAACTAGAACGCTGCTCCAAAAACACAGGCCTACTTGTGGTGTTCACAGACAGTGGAACCTGAACGGTGAGGGGGGGGTCGTTGGTCTGGAGACCCCCCCCCCCCTCCTGACCCCCCGGTCTCAGGTACTTCTCCTCTGCATCCGTTTAATTCTACCGGAAGGAACTTCCTCTCGCGGACTCTGACTGGATTAATCCGCGCGCTCGTCCACGCACTAAGTCCGTGTCCTAATTCATGTGTGACGGCGGCGGCGTGAACACAGGTCTGCGCCCGTGGGCCATCTGTCCCGGAGCCGAGAGACACGGAGGTTACGAGCTGTTCGGAGGGAGGGAGAGATAGTAAAGGGGTGAGAGGGAGAGGGAGGGGGCAGATAAAAGGAAAAGGAGGGAGAGAAAGAAGGAGGGTGAGATAGTAAAGGGGGAGAGAGAGAGGCTCTCTCTCTCTCTCTCTCTCACAGCCATCCTCTCCTCCACACACACACACACACACACACTCACACACACACACGGCAGCCGCTCACTAAGTGGGAAGTTTTCGCGGTCGAGTCCTAAACTAATCACCTTCATGTCGACTCTGTTGGATCCAAACCCGCCGATGCTATGGTTACCTTTATTACGGTAGGAAGAGTTTTTGTTCTAAAGTCTTTGGTTCTCACCTCAGAGTGACTTGTGTGTCTGGAACCAATGGGAGAACAGAAGGACAGAAGTTCTTCTCGTGTTCCTGGAGTCGTGTAGCAGAAGAGGGAACTGATTCGGTCCGCCGTGACGCACCGGGACTTCACGGACCTGGTCCGGTTTAAACCGCAGCGGATTAAACGTTCAATAACGGCAGAAATACGAAGGCGTGATGCGTTCAAGGACTCGGTTCTTTGGTTTTAAATTCAAGTTTTGCAGCGAACGAGCCGCCGCTGCTGCTGCTGCTGCTGCTGCCGTGACACGGACTCACCGCGTCCGCGTCCGTGTCCGTGTCGGTCCGTGCACAGGTAGAACCCTGCGGTCCGTGCTGCAGTTGGTCCAAACTCTGGCTCCGTCCCCAGCCTTCCACTATCACGAGTTCACTCTCACGCACACGGCCGAGCTCTGAGTGGAGAGGCTGCCGTAAACATGGACGTGGACATGTAAACTGGTGGTTCTCAACATGGGGCTCGCGCCCCCTAGGGTACTGGCAGAGAAATTCAGGCGGAACAAAAATAGTAAAAAAAAAAAAGAATTGGTCGTATTTTTAGAACTTAAAGATGAACCTGAACAGAACGTTAGGGCAGTGGGGGCTCAGTGGTTAAGGACGCGGACCTGGGTCCAGAAGGTTTCAGGTTCGAGTCTATCAGCTGCCCAGTCACCACTGGGGTCCTCTGAGCAAGGCACCGTCCACACATACTGACGCTTAAAGCTGCCCCCTGCTGGCTGTTGGTGATGGGTTGAAAACAGAAGTTACATGGTGCAGTGGTGCAGTGGTGCAGTGGGGTGTCACAATGACAGGTAGTTGACTTAACCTCCTTTCCTTTATTCATCCCACACTTCGTCAACAGCTGGGACTTTGTCACCAAATCAGACCTGTCAATCACTGTCACCTGACAGTTGGACAGTGGGACAGTTGGACAGTTGGACAGTTGGACAGTTGGACAGAGGTGGTTGAGGCTCAGTGGCTGTGCTGCTGAAACAGAGAAGAAGAAAATCACACGCTGATGATTGACTGCTACACTTTAGGGTTACTACTGGTTAGTGCTGGTTAGTGCTGGTTAGTTAGTTGGCTGAAGAAAAGTGTGAGGGTCATCTTCACTGGAAGAGGTTGAAACGTTTCAGAATAAAGGAGTCAGTGTTTGTTTCACAATAAAAGTCTGTTTTTACTCAACTTTGGAGAGAAGTGAAAGTTGGACTCTGTGTTGGACAGCTGTGGGGTCACGACCTGATGCTGCTGCTGTTACTGCTGCTGCTGCTGTTACTGCTGCTGCTGATGTTACTGTTACTGCTG